TGTGTGTGTGTGTGTGTGTGTGTGTGTATTTGTGTGTGATAGAGTGCGTGTGTGCGTGTGTGTGTGTGACTGTTTGTGTGTGTGTGTGTGTGTGTGGCTCCTGCCTGCAGTTAAAGCAGTGCCAGCAGACGCATTAATATAGAAACACTATAAACTCTTTCTCTCAGGGTTTATTTTTGCAGTTGTGACTGCTCTTTCTTTATTCACACACACACACACACACACACTCATCTGTCTCTCTGACACATTTGTGTTTAACCGTTCATGCCTGACGCCTCAGAGATGACAAACACATTCACTGTTTCTGCCACTTTTGCTCACACACACTCTCTCAGACTCATGCATGAATACACACACACACACACACATCTACACTCACACTCATACACAAGCACCCTTACCCCCCTCTTTCTCTCTCTCTGTCAGCCTTATGCATACACACACACACCCACACATATATGCACACACTCAGTCATGCATACACACATGTGCACACTCCTTTCACACACACATATACTCTCTCAGACTCACAAACACACACCCATGCACACACAGGCTGACAGGCTGAGACTTATGCATAGACACACACCCACACATATATGCGCACACACACTCGTGCATACACACACACATACATGTGCACACTCACTCCTTACACACATGCACACTTTCTCTCACAGGCTGAGGCTTATGCTGACACACACACCCACACATATATGCACACAGTCACTCATGCATACACGCACATACATGCACACACTCCTTTCACACACACACATAAACACACACACACTCCCTCAGACTCACAAACACACGCATGCATGCACACACAGGCTGAGGCTTATGCATACACACACACCCACACATATATGCACACACTCACTCGTGCATACACACATACATTTGCACACTCACTCCTTTCTCACACACACACACACACACACACACACACACACTCTCTTTCTTTCTAGCTCCCTCAGACTCGCACACACACGTGCATGCCCACACACACTCTGAAACTTATGCATATGCACACACTCACTCGTGCATGCACACACACATACATGTGCACACTCACTCCTTACACATCCACACACACACACACACACGTTCTCTCTCTCTCTGACTCGAATACACACGCATGCATGCCCACACACACTCTGAGACTTATGCATACTCACACACATATATATGCACACACTCACTCGTGCATGCACACTCCTTTCACACAAACATATGCACACACACTCTTTCGGACTCATGCATACATAAACGCACACACACACACACTAACTCAAACATTTAAATTCATCCTCAAACAAACACACACGCTCACACACACACACACAAACTCAAACATTCAAGTTCACTCTCAAATAAACACACACAAACACACACAAACTCGGACATTCAAGTTCACCCTCAAACAAACACACACACACACACACACATTCAAATTCACTCTCAAACAACCACACACACACAAGCTCAAACGCTCACATCCCCTCATGTATGCATGCTCACACACACTCACACTCAGTCAAACTCCCATAATGCCGTTCTGCTGTCACTCACTGAGCGCTTACGATGACTTTAGTTCATTCGTCCTGAATCTGTTCTGCTCTGACCACTATTGAGTGCCCTACATAGACAGCATGTGAAGGTGTCATCAGCTCTCCTAGGATTAATGCGTGCTCTTTGTTGTGTGCCATCTATGTAGGGCACTCGCTAGGGTGTGAACAGAGCTCCGCACAAGCTTATTCCCACCACAGAGAACACTAACAGAACACTGGAAGTGGTAATTGTGTTTTACAAGTGTGAATCTGCAGATCTGAGAGGCCTGAACTGTGAGATACAAACTGCAATTATGCGTTATATTTATTTATTTTAATTCTGCAGCAGAATAACAGATATCTAAAAACAAATCAGAGAAAAAAAATCTGAATCCTGCTATATTTTAATTGCAACTTTGAACATTTTTAGGAAAAAATATACACATACCGGCCACTTTGTTAGGTACACCTGTCCAACTGCTCGTTAACACAAGGCAGCAGCTCACTGCATTTAGGCCTGTAGACATGATCAAGAAGATCTGCTGCAGTTCAAAGCGAGCATCAGAATGGGGAAGAAAGGGGATTTAAGAGACTCTGAACGTGGCATGGTTGTTGCTGCCAGACGGGCTGCTCTGAGTATTTCAGAAACTGCTGATCTACTGGGATTTTCACGCACAACCATCTCTAGGCTTTACAGAGAATGCTCCGACAAAGAGGAAATCTCCAGTGAGCGGCAGTTCTGTGGGGGCAAATGCCTTGTTGATGAGGCCAGACGAGAACGGCCAGACTGGCTCCAGCTGATAGAAAGGCAACAGTAACTCAAATAAGCACTCGCTACAACCGAGCTCTGCAGAAGAGCATCTCTGAACACACAACACGTCCAACCTTGAGGCGGATGGGCTACAGCAGCAGAAGAGCACACCGGGTGCCGCTCCTGTCAGCTAAGAACAGGAAACTGAGGCTACAATTCACACAGACTCACCAAAACTGGACAATAGAAGATTGGAGAAACGTTGCTGCTCTGATGAGTCTCCATTTCTGCTGACACATTCAGATGCTCGGCTCAGACAACATGAAAGCATGGATCATCCTGCCTTGTATCAGCGGTTCAGGCTGGTGGTGGTGGTGTAATGGTGTGGGGGAGATTTTCTTTGGGTCCATTAGTACCAATTGAGCATCAACGCCACAGCCTACCTGAGTATTGCTGCTGACCATGTCCATCCCTTTATGAGCACAGTGTCTCCATCTTCTGATGGCTACTTCCAGCAGGATAACACAGCATGTCATAAAGCTCAATCATCTCAGACTGCTTTCTTGAACATGACGATGAGTTCACTGTACTCAAATGGCCTCCACGGTCACCAGAGCTCAATCCAATAGAGCAGCTTTGGGATGTGGTGGAACGGGAGATTGGCATCATGGATGTGCAGCCGACAAATCTGCAGCAACTGTGTGATGCTATCATGACAATATGGAGCAAAACCTCTGAGGAATATTTCCAGTAGCTTGTTGAATCTCTGCCATGAAGGATTAAAGCAGTTCTGAAGGCAATAGGGGTCCAACCTGGGACTAGTAAGGTGTACCTAATAAAGTGGCCAGTGAGTGTATATTTAATAGCTATGAAGTAATAATATTGTGGAAAAATTCTAGATTGCAAGATTAAAGGATTATGAAGTACTTCAATGTTGTTGTTTTATTCATAATTAAAGTCATAATTCTGAGGAAAAATTCAGAATTTAATGATTAAAGTGGTCATGAAGTACCTTAATGTTTTTCTTACTGTTCTCTCATGTCCATTTACAATAATAATTTACAGTAATTTAATTTACAGCAATAATGTAGGTGATTCAGATAAATAATTTAGAATTTTTTTTGGATTTTCTGTGCAATTTTTTTCTTATCTGAATACGCTGTTTGAGTGGGCGTGGCTAATTGTAGACTCTAAGTAAACCGATTGGCTGGCAGTTTTGCATATAAAGAAGTAGTTATCAATCATATGTGGAGGCGTGTGTGTGTGTGTGTGTGTGTGTGTGTGTGTGTTAGTATGTGTGTGCATGCATTTACATGTGTGAGTGTGTGTGCGTTTTCCTCATTTTTTGTTCCCCTAGGTTTGCAGTGTTTTCTTAAGCTGCCACTGCGGGCTATGAGTGTGTATGCGTATAATTTTGTGTGAGCGCTTGTGTGTATATGTGCGAGTGTGTGTGTGTGTGTGTGTGTATATGTGTGTGTGTGTGTGTGTGTGTGTGTGTGTGTGTGTGTGTGTGTGTGTGTTTCAGTTGCTAGAAATCACTGTGGCCTGATTTCTCTGGTAGATAAACACAAGGTCAGCATCACACACATACACACACACACACACACACACATCAGTACAGATTAAGTGCATCAGTGTGCATAAAATTATCAGTGTATAATCAGCTGGAAATTATTTTTACCCTGAAAGCGTGTCGTCATGCTCAGAAGTGTGTTTGCGGTATCTGGGTCTGGTTCCCCGGAGCGAGCGGATCTCATCGGGTCACTCTCTGATAACGGGAACGCTTTGATTGGGATGTTTGCTGTCAGCTCTTCATTACTCTTTATTTTTTCATGACTGTTATTGTGTGTTTTCTGCCTCTCTCCAGCTGTGCAGCGAGATCAACGCATACATGCTGGCCGACATGGCGCACATCAGCGGACTGGTGGCAGCTAAAGCTATTCCCTCACCATTCCAGCACGCAGACATCGTCACCACCACCACACACAAATCACTGCGAGGCTCCAGGTACAATCCCATCATGCACCTCTAGAAAGACAGGAGTGCAGAACACATGAAAAACACATTCTAGCACAGTCAATGTTAGTTACAATGGTCGCACATGTAGTTCTCAGCATAAATGAGTACACCTGTTTATATCTATTTCCCAACAAAACAATTTTATTATATTTTATATCAGTTATATCCATTAAAATAAGCCGAAGACTATCCTAGAGCTCCATCTGCTGTTAAACACTAGCCTAGAGCACCAATAAAACAAGCCTAGAGCACCATCTGCTACTAAACACTAACCTAGAGCGTCGTATGCTGTTAAACACTAGCCTAGAGCACCAATAAAACTAGCCTAGAGCACCATCTGCTATTAAACACTAACCTAGAGCGTTGTATGCTGTTAAACACTAGCCTAGAGCACCAATAAAACTAGTCTAGAGCACCATCTGCTATTAAACACTAACCTAGAGCGTCGTATGCTGTTAAACACTAGCCTAGAGCACCAATAAAACTAGCCTAGAGCACCATCTGCTATTAAACACTAACCTAGAGTGTTGTCTGCTGTTAAACACTAGCCTAGAGCACCAATAAAACTAGTCTAGAGCGCCATCTGCTATTAAACACTAACCTAGAGTGTTGTCTGCTGTTAAACACTAGCCTAGAGCACCAATAAAGCTAGTCTAGAGCGCCATCTGCTATTAAACACTAACCTAGAGCTCCATCTGCTGTTAAACACTAGCCTAGAGCACCAATAAAACAAGCCTAGAGCACCATCTGCTACTAAACACTAACCTAGAGCGTCGTATGCTGTTAAACACTAGCCTAGAGCACCAATAAAACTAGCCTAGAGCACCATCTGCTATTAAACACTAACCTAGAGCGTTGTATGCTGTTAAGCACTAGCCTAGAGCACCAATAAAACTAGTCTAGAGCACCATCTGCTATTAAACACTAACCTAGAGCGTCGTATGCTGTTAAACACTAGCCTAGAGCACCAATAAAGCTAGTCTAGAGCACCATCTGCTATTAAACACTAACCTAGAGCGTCGTATGCTGTTAAACACTAGCCTAGAGCACCAATAAAACTAGTCTAGAGCGCCATCTGCTATTAAACACTAACCTAGAGTGTTGTCTGCTGTTAAACACTAGCCTAGAGCACCAATAAAGCTAGTCTAGAGCGCCATCTGCTATTAAACACTAACCTAGAGTGTTGTCTGCTGTTAAACACTAGCCTAGAGCACCAATAAAACTAGTCTAGAGCGCCATCTGCTATTAAACACTAACCTAGAGTGTTGTCTGCTGTCAAAAACTAGCCTAAAGCACCAATAAAGCTGGTCTAGAGCGCCATCTGCTAATTAACACTAACCTACAGCGTTGTCTGCTGGTAAACACTAGCCTAGAGCACCGTCTGCTATTAAACACTAGTCTAGACCACCAATAAAACTAGCCTATGGTGCCATCTGCTGTTAAAAACTAGCCTAAAGCACCAAAAAACTAGCCTAGAGCGCCATCTGCTATTAAAAACTAATCTAGAGCACCATCTGGTGTTAAACACTAGCCTAAAGCACCAATAAAGTAGCCTAGAGCGCCATCTGCTATTAAAAACTAACCCAGAGCATTGTCTGCTGTTAAACACTAGCCTAGAGCGCCATCTGCTATTAAAAACTAACCTAGAGTATCGTCTGCTGTTAAACACTAACCTAGAGCGCCATCTGCTATTAAACATTAGCCTAGAGCACTATTAAAACTAGACTACAGCACCCTCTGCAGTTAAAATCTAGCCTAGAGCTCCATCTGCTGTTAAACACTAGCCTAGAGCACCAATAAAACTAATCTACAGTGCTATCAGCTATTAAACACTAGCCTTAAGCGCAGTCTACTGTTAAAAACCAGCCTAGAGTCCCGTCTGCTGTTAAACACTAGCCTAGAGTGCCATCTGCTATTAACCACTAACCTAGAGCACAATCAGCTGGTAAACACTAGCCTAGAGCACCAATAAAACTAACCTAGAGTGCTGTCTGCTGTAATAAACTAGCCTAGAGCGCCGTCTGCTGTTAACCACTAACCTAGAGCGCCGTCTGCTGTTAAAAACTAGCCTAGAGCACCATTTAAAGCAAACCTAGAGCTCTATCTACAGTTCAAAACTAGCCTAAAGCACTGTCTGCTGTTATAAACTAGACTAAAACACCATCTGCTGTTAAAAATTATCCTAAGCCACCAATAAAACTAGCCTAGAGCACTCAGTGTAAATAAAAACTAGCCTAAAGCGCCATCTGCTGTTAAAAACTAACCTAAAGCGTTTTCTGCTGTTAATAATTAGCCTAGAGTGCCATCTGCTGTTATAAACTAGCCTAGAGCGCCATCTGCCGTTATAAACTAGCCTAGAGCGCCGTCTGCTGTTAAAAACTAGCCTTGAGCGCCATCTGCTGTTATAAACTAGCCTATAGCACCATCTGCTGTTAAACACTAGTCAAGAGCGTCACCTGCTGTTGAACATTAGCTCAGAGTTGGTGCAGAATTAGTTTTTCTGTTGTTTTTTCTGACTGCTTGTATGCATAATGTACACAGTATTAGTTTTACATGCATTAATTGTTACCCCTTCCCTTCTTGTGTGACTCCTCCCCCAGGGCGGGACTTATCTTCTACCGTAAGGGTGTGCGTTCGGTTGATAAGAAGGGCAAAGAGATCATGTATGATCTGGAGGAGAAGGTCAACTTCTCTGTGTTCCCTTCGCTTCAGGGCGGCCCACACAATCACGCCATCGCCGGCGTCGCTGTGGCTCTCAAACAGGTGAAAATTCACTTTCACCCTGTCATGCATACCATCACACCACTGTTTATTATTGTACATTCAGAACGCACATCATCAAATGCAAATCACAAATGACCTCTTTTCACATGTGCCGGTTTGTCGGCAGCAGAAGTGCTCATCGTTGGTGAACTCAGAGCGCGGTGAATGGGAGAGCACAACACATCATTATTTACAATTTGATTTGCTGAAATAATAACAGATAAACTTCAGGATGGTGTTGTCAAGACCTTCAGGAAGAGGAAAGCAATAGTGTAAGACTGATAACGGCAGCCAGAAGAGAGAATAACGTCAGTTTGACAACCTCAAGATTCCAGATTGGATTATGTGGCAGATCCTGATTGGCAGATCACCAATTGGTTTAATGCATATGAGTAAGAGATGTTGAGGGTGGAGGATTGGGGCTGCTGTGCGATGCGGCTTAACACAGCGTGGCTGTTCAGACTCACACTGACTCAAGGAGTCATGATCTTTTAATGACAGCAGTAAATAACTGAGCAACTGCTCAGAGGCTGCATGGTGAAGCAAGAAGGTCGCTGGTTTGAGCCCCGGCTGGGTCAGTTGACATTTCTCTGTGGAGTTTGCATGTTCTCCCCGTGTTGGCATGGGTTTCCTCCGTGTGCTTCGGTTTCCCCAAGTCCCAAAAACATTTGCTCTAGGTGAATTTCACAAGCTGTAAATTGTCTGTAGTGTATGTGTGTGAATGAGTGTGTATGGGTGTTTTCCTGTGATGTGTTGCAGCTGGAAGGGCATCCGCTGCGTTTAATATATGCTGGATAAGTTGGCGGTTCATTCCACTGTGGCGACCCCAGATTAATAAAGGGTCTAAGCTGAAAAGAAAATGAATGAATGAATATTATTCTAAATAAATAACAGAAATCAATCCTAAACTTGACTAGTTCAGTAAAGTTAGCAACAGATTCACAGAATCGGATTTTCCGGATCAATAACTCATGACCGAAACATTGTTCCTACACAAATAGCACCTCTTTTCAACTGTCACAATGTATACAATATGTTGTATACAATGTATTAAATTATTTTTATTTTTTTTTACCATTTTTACCATTTTTGGCTGAACTAACCTAATAAATCATGTTCAAAAGTATTCAACAATTTAGGTTAAAATGTCATATTGTGTTTTTTAAATAGCACAATGGATTTAAATGTGAAAAATCTACATACAGCATATATAAACATCATTTATTGTGGTGGTTCAGTGCTGGAAAAGCATAAGAATGCACCTTGAAAGTGCTTGAAAAGTGCTGGAGTTTGAAGTTGGAAAAGGTGTAAGAACCCTGAGTAAATCATATCTCAAAGCTGTCTGGGGCTTGTTTTATTCATTTATTTATTTTATTAAATTTATTTTTTATTTTTTTGCACCATCTCCCCATGCCATTGTAACCACCTCCCTATCAGGCTCCCTTTCTTTTCTAATGGGATGGCGGGCCAAATCAAAGGTTACCATGAGCCAATTTTGACCCGCAGGCCCAACTTTGAGCGTCTCTGATGTCTCTAGTGTGTAGTGAAGTTTCAGCTCAAAATACCACACAGAAATCAGTTATTAGAAATTAATTCTTTAAATTATTGTGTTTAGAAATGTGCTGCTCTCCATTAAACAGAAATCGTGTAAAAAAATATACAGGAGAGCGAATAATTCAGACTTCAACTGTACCTGCAGCAGGGTTAATACCCACATGCAGGATCATCCTTGAGCTCGAGCATGTCTGATTCCCTCTGATGGTCTGCTGAACACCGGCTCCTGCACTGGGAGCTCGTCTGTGTTTTTTGATAATTAAGGATTGTTCTCTGGTGTGTCTCCAGGCCACGTCGCCCATGTTTCGAGAGTATATCGCTCAGGTTCTGAAGAACTCCAAGGCCATGGCGGCCGCACTGCTGGACAAGGGATACACACTCGTCTCTGGTGGGTTACACACACACACACACACACACACACACACACACACACACACTCAAACATGCGGTTAAAGTCTTAAAGAATTATTAGCCCTCAGATTTCTCCAACAGATTTCTAATCATAACAGTGTTAATAACTCATCTCTAATAACTGATTTATTTTCTCTTTGTCATGATGACAGTAAATAATATTTGAGATGTTTTTTGAGAAATTAGTATTCCGCTTAAAGTGACAACTAGGTTAATTAGGGTAAAGTTTGGGTAATTAGGCAAGTCATTGTGTAACAGCAGTTTGTTCTGTAGACATTCAAAACAATATTGCTTAAGGGGGTAAAGATATTGACCTTAAAATGGTTTTTAAAAGATAAAAATTCTTGCTGGAATAAAACGAATAAGAATTTCTGCAGAAGAAAAAATATTATAGGAAATACTGTGAAAAATTCCTTGCTCTGTTAAACACCATTTAGGAAATATTTGATATTATTTGATAATGCTTTGATAATATTTGTAGTGCTGCCAAAATTACCGCATTAGTATTACTACTAATATTAGACTAGATATTCTTTAAGACACCTTTTATACAGCTTAAATTTACATTTAAAGGCTTCACTAGGGTAATTAGGGTAAAATTAGGGTAATTAGGCAAGTCATTGTACAACAATAGTGCACTTCTCCTGTTCAACCTTTACATGCTCCCTCTGAGCCAAATAATGAGAAAGAACCAAATCTCCTACCACAGCTATGCTGATGACACTCAGATCTACCTAGCCTTAGTGCCTAATGACTACAGCCCCATTGACACCCTCTGCCAGTGCATTGATGAAATGAGCAATTGGATGTGCCAAAACTTTCTTCAGTTAAACAAAGAGAAAACTGAAGTCATTGCGTTTGGGAACAGAGATGAGGTTCTCAAGGTAAATGCGTACCTTGGCACTAAAGGTCAAACGACAAAAAATAAGGTCAAGAATCTTGGTGTGACTCTGGAGTCAGATCTGAGTTTCAACAGTCATGTCAAAGCAGTCAGTAAATCAGCATACTATCATCTCAAAAACATAGCAAGAATCAGATGCTTTGTTTCTAGTGAAGATTTAGAGAAACTTGGTCATGCTTTTATCAGCAGCAGGGTGGATTACTGTAATGGACTCCTCACTGGTCTTCCTAAAAAGACAGTCAGACAGTTGCAGCTCATCCAGAACGCTGCAGCCAGAATTCTAACCAGAACCAGAAAATCAGAGCACATCACACCTGTCCTCAGGTCTTTACACTGGCTGCCAGTTACATTCAGAATAGATTTTAAAGTATTATTACTGCTCTATAAATCACTAAATGGCCTAGGACCTAAATATATCACAGATATGCTCACTGAATACAAACCCAACAGATCACTCAGATCATTAGGATCATATAAACTAGAAGTTCCAAGAGTTCAGTCAAAGCAGGGTGAATATGCCTTCAGCCACTATGCCCCTCACTGCTGGAATCAGCTTCCAGAAATGATCAGATGTGCTCCAACATTAGGCACACATCTGATTAGCTGTGCCTTTACTGAATGAGCACTGTGCTGCAACCCACAGATTGCACTATCATGTTTTTCTCTTCTTCTTCATTCTTTCATATCACATTTTACCTGTTTTTATGTTTTGTTTTGTTTTTACGCATTTTTATTATTTGTTTTTATTTTTATTTTACTTGTTTCTTTTATTCTTGTTTATGTAAAGCACTTTGAATTGCCACTGTGTATGAAATGTGCTATATAAATAAACTTGCCTTGCCTTGTTCTGGAGACAATTCCTTAAGGGGGCTAATAATATTGACATTAAAATGTCTGGCTTTAAAACTGGCTTTAAACTAATAATAACTGCTTTTATTTTAGCCGGAAAAAAAACTAATCAGACTTTCTCCAGAAGAACAAATATTAGAGGAAATACTGTGAACAACTCCTGAATCTGTTCAACATCATTTGGGCAATATTTGAAAACAAAAGAGAAATTTAACTGTACAGACAAACACAATGCATTCACTGGAGATGCTAAGTGAAGGTGGGAAGTCAAAGAAATTGAGCAGGTCTGTAAAAGTCTTTGATTGTTTGTCAATTTAAGGCTAAAACAGGTTTTTGTAAAATACAAATTTCATGTTCTGTATTAGATCAACATTTATTATTGCATATATCATCTTTTGTTAGCTGTTTGGACAGAACTGTGTGTAGTACAGTGTTTCCACAGCAAGGTTATAATAATTTTGGATTTTTCATTAGTTTTAGTTTCTATTTCGTTTTGACTTTTTGTTTTCGAATTCAGTTCGTTTTAATCAGTTTTTAGAGGCAGATTTACTAGTTTTCATTAGTTTTTATATTTTGAAATTATTTAGTTTAGTTTTTATTAGTTTCAGTATTAGTTTCAGTTTTCTTCCTAAATAATGATATTTGTTTGGTGCAAGATTCAAAATCAACAGAATAAATATTGTAGAATAAAAACTGAACCTGTATTCAGAGAACACATGAACAGTATCATCTACCACAACCATCGACCCATCCTCAAACTCAAATACAACAGCCCACAAGACAGCAGCCTTCAGTACAATATGTGTGCAAGGCTGCTCTGAGGTTAGACACACAGTAGTGATGGGAAGTTCAGATCTTTAACGCGGATGTTAGGACTCAACGTTATATAGTCAGCAATAGCCAGTTAAAGCATCACCATGATCTGAAAAATGTCTTACTGTAAAGATTTGCAGCTCAACTGAATCATGATTCACTTATTTGAACTCCATTATGATTTTCTGTTATGAAATAAACTTACGTTTTTCTCCAGATCCTCTTATTAAGCCTCGGTTCACCCGCGCTGCGGTTGTTCAAGTTTAGTTCAGTCACAGCAGGCTGTCATGTGCTGTTTGTGTTTGGTTCACTGAATCACGCATGCGCAGTATTATCGGTTCACCACTTCTCAAATTTGATCAAATTTGATCTCAGTGTAGTGTTGCTGTTCTAATAACTGAATGAAAGTGTATATTGGATTATTTAGAGTCAGAGGGGGGTAATACCCTTGTTAAAAAGTAAGTAGTTTGTGGATAAGTGCTTACTGGAGACGCGAATAATTTCAAATGATTCAGTTCAATTTGGTGAACTAGTTCAACTGGTTCTCTTACAGGATCCGGTTAAAAAGATTCGATACAGAAATAAACCCCATTGTTGGGCACAAATGTGTTAAAGTAATAGCTTAAAGTGTCTGTGTTTAATGCTGTCACCGTGCTGCTGTCATGTCCACTCGCTGTTTTTGTCACGAGAGCAACAGCGAGGATGACTGCAGCAGAACCGGCTCGATCTGGCCAACGGCAGCAGGACCACAGACTACAGGTGCTAAATGGGTCAAACATCACATTATATTTACTTCTAAACGGTTTACAGTAAGATTATGTATTGAATACATTCACAAAGACGGAAACGAAGGAGGTTTGTGCTCATTTTTGTTAGTTTTGTATGTACACAATACAGTTTCAGTTAGTTCTAGTTTAAGAAAAAACTCTCATTTTTATTTTTATTTCAGTTAAAGACAATTATTTTACAGTCTGGTTTTCGTTTTTTTGTTTGTGTTGATTAACTATAATGACCTTGGTCCACAGTTATACTGGAGTGATATAAACACAACAATTTCCTAATGTTAAAATAGGACCCAAATCCCTGCTATTTTGAGGCCGACCACAACGTGACGTAGGAGTGTGGTTCCCCCGCCTACTGAATTGATTGACAGGTGCCGTGTCTCCATAATAGCCTGTGTATATATAAACGTCCACAGAACATGTTTTGCAAAGAAACTGGGATTAAAACATGTCTCCACTCTCTGTGATCATCTGCACCTCAATAATGAATTTTACAAGTTTAAAACGTTTTTGAAGCATGTTTGTAATAAAGAGTGTGTGTGTGTGTGTGTGTGTGTGTGTGTGTGTGTGTGTGTGTGTGTGTGTGTGTGTGTGTGTGTCTGTGTCTGTCTGTGTGTACTGCAAAGAGTGTTTGTGTGTGACTGATCGTTTCAGAAGGGTTTGAATAAACTCCACCACGAACACATCAAATATTCTGCGCATTTTTGACTAATGAGCTGTATTTCAGCTTCCTCCGAGTCTGTCTGTCACTGACTGCAGTTTATTTGCTGTAACGCAGGAGAATCAGACACACGTGGGAGCGGTGGGTGGGTGGGTGGGTGGGGAGAAGCAGCTCTTTGCACTTAAAGCCACAGACTACAAAAGCAGCTGCACTGTACTCAGACACCAAAATGGGCAGATTCTGGAGGCTATAATAGATGATCTGATGGGTATTTTGAGCTGAAACTTTACAGACACATTCTGGACACACCAAAGGCTGATCTACATCTTGTAAACGGGGTAAAATAGGCACATAGACTTTTTTATAAAACTTCTTTTTGACTTCAGCTAAAATCTGGCATTCATCTTCTTTAAAATGAGACCCAGCTTTAATCCGGGCACCAAAACAATATTGACACTCATTTAAGCTGAATAAAAAAGCGGAGCGACAATTAAACGTTTAATGCAGATGAGTTTATTTATTCTGCCTCTCCTCTGTTTTAATAATAGTTTCAGATGTTTAATATTCATCCTCAGATGTTAAAAAACTTCTTCCCCTTCTGCTAACTTCCTCATTACCAGCCGCAGAAACTCTCTCTCATGTCCGATTCCAGGTGAATCCAGATCCGTTTATTGAGGAAAACTCCGGCAGAAGCGCTCTTGGAGATTTCATCACGGTTTAATGATGTTTTTGTGCTGTGGATATAATTGTTGTTGCGTGTAATTATTGGTTTTCTGCACGCGGCGTGTGTGAAATGGAGCTGTGGTTTGGTGTTAGCGCTGCAGGATTGACATATGCAGCACTAATTGAATGGCCGCCTGCCGGATTTGTGCATGCGTGTGTGTGTGCGTGCGTGCGTGTGTGTTCTGTTCTCATCCATGCTGAAGCTGCAGATCTGCTTTATCAGTCACTTTTACCTGCTTTAGGAGTGGATGATTCCTCACTGACAATGTAGAGATGGCAATAACACACTAAAACTAACTCTCATCACTTTTACTCACCTGCAATGTGCAAAGGTTATTTAACCCTTTAATTGTCGCTCCACTTTTTGAACACAGACATGAGAATGACATTTTTCAACTTAAATCAAGTGTAAATCTTCAATGCTTTGGTGCACAGATTTAAGCCTGGTCTCGTTTTAAAGAAGAAAGATGGCAGATTGTAGCTGAAGTGAAAAAAAGTAAAAATAAAATAAAAAAATGTGATGTACCTTTATTTTTATGTAAATAATAAAATAATATATATATTAGATTAAAATATGTATTTTACAAAACCTATTTTAGTCTAAAATTGACAGAAAATCAAAGCTATATGTCACGTTCAGGAGGGTGGGAGAGACTCAAGTACAGAGAAAAATGGGTTTTTATTTATAATAAAATAAAATAAAAGGCAAAACAAACTACCCTGAGGGGGAAAACATTAACAAAACAAACAAAACAAACTAGACTGGGCAAGCTGGCAGGGCTGGAAACAGGACAAGGCAAGATATGATGACAAACTGGCACCAAGGTTATTATAGTTAATAAACAAAAACAAAAAAAACTACAACTAGACTGTAAAATAATTGTGGTTTACTAAAATAAAAATAAAAACGAGAGTTTTTTTTTTTTTCTAAAACTATCACTAACTGAAACTGTATTGTGTACATACAAAACTAACTGAAATTATAGCAAAAACCTCTTTTGATTTCCTCTTTGTAACTGTATTTAATATATAATCTTACTGTAAACCGTTTAGAAGTAAATCTAACCTCAGAGTCTGTAATCCTGCTGCCATCGAGCCGGTTTATCTCCAGTCATCCTTGCTGTTGCTCCCTCGATAAAAACATTGAGTGGACATGACAGCAGCACGGTGACAGCATTAAATACAGGCATTTAAAACTATTACTTTAACACATTTGTGCCCAATAATGGGTTTATTTCTGTATCGCGATCGCAAATGAATCTTTTCAACCGGATCTTCTAAGGGAACCGGTTGAACTAGTTCACCAAATCGAACTGAATCGATTGAAACGATTCGCGTCTCCAGTAAGCACTTATCCACAAACTACTTACTTTTTAACAAGCCTAATACTCCCCTCTGACTCTAAATAATCCGATATATACTCTCTTTCAGTTATCAGAACAGCAACACTACACTGAGATCAAATTTGAGAAGTGGTGAACCGATAATACTGCGCATGCGTGATTCAGTGAACCAAACAGCACATGTGAATCATGATTCAGTTGAGCTGCAAAACTTTACTGTAAGGCATTTTTCTTCCTAACATCCACGTTAAAGATCTGATCTTCCCATCACTGCTGTGTGTCTAACCTCAGAGCAGCCTTGCACACATATTGTACTGAAGGCTGCTGTCTTGTGGGCTGTTGTATTTGAGTTTGAGGATGGGTCGATGGTTGTGGTAGATGATACTGTTCATGTGTCCTCTGAATACAGGTTCAGTTTTTATTATACAAAATTTATTCTGTTGATTTTGAATCTTGCACCTGACAGTTATACTTATTTAGGAAAAAACTAACACTGAAACTAATAAAAACTAAACTAAAATGAAATAATTTCAAAATATAAAAACTAA